CGTCCTCAGTGTGTCGTGCCACTCGCGAGGCACCTGGCGGAGACCGTAGACTGGCCGCCGGAGGCTCCACTGGGTACCTGCAGGAAACGACCCAGTGAAGCAAGGTGGGCGGCGCAGCCAGATCTCCTCGTGCAGGTTGCCGAGTGTCTTGCGGCCACTTTATCTCGTTTCGCATCCATGCTGCTTTGCCCTGAGGAAGACCCGGATGCACTTGACATCCCTATCCCGTGCTCTTATGCTGAGGCGATCGCGGGTGAGTATTCCTCTCAGTGGCAGACAGCCATGGACGCAGAGATGGCTTCCTGGAAGTCCACAGGCACCTACGTTGACGATGTTCCTCCTCCTAAGGCGAACATAGTCGATGGCATGTGGATTTTCATAGTGAAGCGGTCGTCGCGTTCTCCGCCTGCCTTCAAGGCGCGTTACGTTGCTCGAGGCTTCAGTCAGAGACAGGGGGTCGACTTCTTCCAGACCTTCTCCCCCACCTTGAAGATGACTACTCTTTGGGTGCTGCTGCACGTTGCAACACAGCGTGACTACAAGCGGCACTCCCTTGACTTCTCCACAGCTTTCTTGCAGGGAAGCCTTCACGAGGAGATCTGGCTGCGCCGCCCACCTGGCTTAACTGGGTCGTTTCTTGCGGGTACCCAGTGGAGCCTCCGGCGGCCAGTCTACGGTCTCCGCCAGGCGCCCCGAGAATGGCACGACACACTGAGGACTACACTAGCAGCTCTTGGGTTTGCTCCTTCCTCTGCTGACCCGTCGCTGTTTCTACGCACCGACACTACCCTGCCGCCATTCTACGTGGTCGTGTACGTCGCGGACTTGGTTTTTGCTACTGGTGACACTGAGTTGCTGGCCCTGGTGAAGGCGGAGCTGCAGGAAAGACACACCTGCACTGAACTGGGTGAGCTGCGTAGCTATCTTGGCTTGCAGATCACCCGGGACAGAGCACGGCGCACCATCACCCTGACTCAGTCACACATGGTGCACCAGGTCCTTCGGCACTTTGGCTTCCAGTACTCCTCGCCACAGCCCACTCCTCTGTCTACCGACCACTCACTTTCAGCTCCACCTTTGGACGAGTCCGTAGAGCTGAGTGGTCCATACCCAGAGCTTGTGGGTTGCCTCATGTACCTGATGACGTGCACACGACCTGACCTCTCGTACCCTCTCAGCCTCCTGGCTCGCTACGTAGCTCCCGGTAGACACCGAAAGGTGCACTTTGATGCTGCGAAGAGGGTACTGCGTTATTTGTGCAGTACATCGGGCATGGGGCTCGTGCTTGGAGGACAGGGTCCAGTGGTACTGACAGGACACTCCGACGCTTCTTGGGCCGACAACCAGGCGATTCAACGTTCGTCACAGGGTTACACCTTCAGTCTTGGCTCTGGTTCTGTCTCATGGAGGTCCACTCGTTCTTCTTCTGTGCTTGGTTCCAGCTGTGAGGCCAAGATCTACGCTGGGGCCATGGCTGCACAAGAGCTACGCTCGCTGACCTACCTGCTGACTGACTTGGGGAGGTGGCCTCGTTCTCCTCCGGTTCTGTACGTCGACAACAAGGCCATGCTTCCCTTGTGTCGCGAGCAGAGACTGGAGCACAGAACGAAGCACATTGCTCTTTACTACTTTCTTGATCGAGAGCTGCAGCAGCGTGGTCAGCTTCGTCTTTCTTACGTGGCCTCTAGGGCCAACACTGCTGACGTCTTCACCAAGGCCCTCGGGTCTGGTGATCTTCAGCGTTTTCGCACTGCTCTTGGGCTTCCGCCCGTTCTACCTCACCTGCTTGTCTCTTGATCTTAAACTTGTTGTACACTGATATCTATATTTATACCTGCATATTTCCTCTTGCTAGGTTGTGATCAGTGTACTGCCTTGCTATTATACCTCTGCATGTGAACTGGCCTTGTGGCCGCTTGCTTGTGCTCGGATTGTGTAGTGTTCTTGAGATCCACCCTGCGCTTTACTTTGCTTTGCTCTATTGTCTTGCTTGACTGGTCTTGTGACCGTCTTGTTGTCCCCCACTTAGCCTATGGGGGTGTGTCAAAGTATAATCTTACTTTTATGCTATAGTGGGGCACTCCTTATGGGGTACAGCACTTCTAGGGTTAGTACTTGTACCCCATCTCTTGCTAATCCAATCATTCCTGCACAGTTATTCGGACATCTTCCTCCTATCCTAGGTTTCTCATAAACCCAGGCTACTTCTGTTCTCAACACCTGGGCCCATCGTTCCACGTAAGCCTACTTCGCCCATACATCCCAACCACGAGTCAACTATTAGGCTGAGAAAAGCCCTTAGGATCTTTGCAGGACTAAACTCTGAGTAGGAACAATGTAATAGGGGAAGCGTTTGATGATAAGTCTGTGAACCACCTTGCGCTGGTATGTGAGGGCAAAGTTGATTGATTAAAAACAAAGAGATACAGGCTTTTATAAGAGTACAAGGGAATATGAAGGGTTGTAACTAATAACTGTTTTGCTGTTGCTGTTGCGGTTCGGGCAACTGCTCAATAACGAGTCAGTTGTTTGTCCTTGCTGTCGCGCTGTACTTGTCAGGTCAAAGGTCGCTGACCTTTGACTTTCGCGTAACCTCTAGCAGTTGTTCAACCTCCGAGGTTTGACTCGTCGATGCTTCGCAGTGTTTCGCTTCGTTTACGAGTTAGTGCTTCGACACGACAGAGGCGCTTAAATTACTTGTTTCCAACATCAACTACCAAGCCATTGCCCACCATCGATGAGGCGCTTGCATCGGATCCGATCGTCGACCCCGAGCAAATTATGAGCCATCTGATTCGCCACCCGCAAAAGATCTCAGAGGATCGAATTCCTCGTTCGATGGAAGGACCGCACCCCTACAGAAGACCAGGCCCCACGTTATCAGGGCAAAACATCCTGATTACCCTGAATTCAGGATGCCTCTATATATTTACCCTGTCATTTCAGAATAGTGTCAATTTTAACCCTGATGTCACTGGATGTTTTTATCTGAAATGACCTGAACATTCAGGATGGCCGTAGTGTTCTTCCCTGTAGCGTCAGGATGAATGTCGAGGCCTGCCCTGACGCGTTTTTTTTTGTGGGGGGGGGGGGGGGGGGGGGGGGAGGAGGGGGGGAGTGTTTCGTTTCGGGGGGAATTTTTTCCCCGGGGATTTTTGTCTCTGTTGGAATTTTCCCCCGTGTATGTTTTCCGCCTTCGCACGATCTCTTCCCCTTTACAGTTCTGTTCCGATCCCCCGCAACACCAGCCAAGCCAATGCTATCACCAACCGCCAAGGCAACTCGTCCTGTGCCAGGCTAGCGCTAGCCGGGTCTCTCTCGCTGGAGTTCAGCACTCCATCCAACACCCTTCCAGTGTTGCTGTTAGAGTAGCAGCAGCATTGGTAGTGAAGCTCGGCTGGATGATGGCAAACCAGGACGATGGCGCGGCGCCAGTATCACGGGGTCTAACCGGATTAGATTTCTTGCGTCCGGTTAGAGTTGTGTCCACCTTACCAACCGGTTCACCTGCAGCTGGTTCATCTCCCCCCGCCTATGCTAGTACGAACGGCACCAACGTTGTACCTCCTGGTGCGACACGCATCGGCCCTGCCGCTACTGCTAAGTTAAGTGCGACCAAGCACAAACAGTCGCGCTTGTCGTTCTCTCGCGATAGTCCCACGGAACCCACCGCACGTGTCCGCTTAGCGCCAGCTTTACCAGGACCATCGACCGTTCCTGCAGCAACTTCGTCCACCGAGGAACTGCGCGATGAGACTGAGGATAAATACCAGCAGGCGCTTATGAAGTACAAACAGGAATGGTCGACTGATTTCCCGTGGCTCGTGCTTTGTCAAACCTCTTTCAGTTTCCCATCAGTGAGGTGCACTTTGTGTATCAAGCACGCAGGACACGGCACAAACTACGGCGCTGCTGGCGAAGGTGCCGTAGATGTCCAAACCCAGGCGTTCCGCACGCATCAAAGCTCCAGGAAGCACAAACGATCCGTCAAGAGATAGGCCCAGGCGGACAAGGCGGCTGAGAAGCAGCAGCGCATCATCGACTGCCCAAAGGCTGGAGACATCCAGCGTGTAAGGGTTATCGCTCTGCTGCAGACCCTGCTGTTCATCTGCAAATGTGATGCGCTGATTGAGATGTGGGTTCAATTAGTTCGCCACCTTGCAGAGCGAGGGACACCAGGCTTCCCCAAGAATGGCTACGGTGCTTATTACACCAGGTGAGCCGTTATTCATCAGTAGCTGCTATACTCGAGAAAATTAGTACGGAGGTTGCTCACAACTATCCCACTGTTGCTAACCCTCAGTACCTTCTTTCCTTGGATGCAGATATGGGTTTGCCGAGCTCATCGCAAGCACTGCAGCATATCTCCGTGCTCGTCAGCAAGTCTGGTTGCAGTCTAGTCCATTCATCGGACTAACCTGTGACGAGAGTACAGATCGTGTGCATGGCAAACACCAGATCGTGTTTGCCACGTTTCTCCGTGACTCTCGTGTAGTCACAGAGTTCATCGGTCTGCTGACGGTGGAGAAATGCGATGGCGCTTCATTGCTTTCCCTGTTGCTGACCCTCCTTGATTCTCTTGGAATCGACATGAGCAGGGTGGCCGGGATTAGCACGGATGGCGCAGGTGCGATGATGGGTAGCACAAACGGCCTGGTGGCTCGGCTGCGTGTAATGGTCCCGCACCTCTTCTCCAGCCATTGCGTTGCACATCGGTGAGTAATACGTATTGCCTGTGTGTGTTGCATCTAGATGCCCATCACGTTGCGCAGAAAGTGTAAGGCAGGCAGGCGCTCACATGATCTAAAGCTCATGCCATTCCCCACCCTTTTTGTTTCCCCCATACTTACCTCTCCCCCCCCTTCCCTCCCTCCCCGCTCCAGACATGACGTTGATCTGCTCCATAGTCTCCATGTGGACGGGCAGCAACGGCCTGCAAAAACAGTCGATGCACATGCTCCTTCCTTCAACCAAACTTCCCCTTCTCTCGTGCCCACATCATGTCGTGTAGAGAGGCGCTGGCCGCCAAGGACGCCGCCACTGAGCTGGGCCTAATTGACTATGTACTAAAGGAACTCGCGGAATACCTGGGAAGGTCGCAGCCCTCTCACAATGAGTTCCAAGAGCTGCAGGAGGTGTTCTGCAAGACCAACCTTGAACTGCAGGGGATTCACTCAGTCCGTTGGCTGAGCCGCGGCGATGCCATCACGCGCTTGGTGCGTGTGCTCCCTGCCGTCATTGTGCTCCTCTGGGAGTGGGATGACGACTTTTACCACATTGTAACTTCAGTGAAGTTCAATGTGTATCTGTATTACCTCGCCGATATGCTCAACCTCCTCAACAACCTCAACCTGGAGTTTCAGAAGCAACAGGTGAGTAGCTTCCGTAAGGCTGAAACCCTTAGCACGGGGGTTTGTACGGTCCTTGTTGAAACTGTCCCTTGTCATGTTGCAGGTCGACATGACATCGGTGCAGTCGACTGTGCGCCGCACCCTGATCATCATCCGTACGCGCTACATTGAGTGCAGCGATGACCTCGGTGGCGGCCCACAGCTACATCTCGGGGCCTTCCTAGCCAGGCTCAGTGAGACTCGGGAAATCACTGTGGCAGGTGTGGACAAGGAGGGGGAGAAGCGACAACATACCTTTGAGCTGCACAAGGAGGTATTGACGGGCTACAGCAAGACACCGGATGACTTGCAGTCGTGCCTCGACGTTTGCCGCCGCCACGCCAAGTCGACGCTTACCCACCTCCAGAAGAGGCTGGGGGATCTCAAAAGCCTGAACGGTGTCCGGCTTTTTATGCCAGACACCTACCCTGAAGACAAGGAGGGACGCGCTGAGGAGTGCCTCGAGCACTTCGAGACTCTTGTTGACTTGTTCCATGCCCGCGAGCGAGCAAACATTCTCCCGGGTAAGCACAAGCTCCTATGCCTTAACCCATTCTGTCCTATGCCCACACTTTGCCTTGGTATGTCCCTGTATTGTGTATGACCAGCAATCTGTCTTTTTCTGTCCCTGTATTCTGTATGACCAGCAATCTGTCTTTTTCTGTCCTTGTATTCTGTATGACCAGCAATCTGTCTTTTTCTGTCCCTGTATTGTGTATGACCAGCAATCTGTCTTTTTCTGTCCCTGTATTGTGTATGACCAGCAATCTGTCTTTTTCTGTCACTGTTATGAGTGTAATGCGTGGCAGGTGTGGACAAGCGTGCTGCCAAAAAGGAACTGAGGAGATTCGTCCCTGTCCTTGCTGGCGCTCCCCGAGGCGAGCGCACCTTTCAACGCGGACTGGCGGCCATGCTGCGAACGAAGGACTGGGAGCGGAACTACCCCAACCTCGTCCGCCTCTGGACAGCGGTGGCTGTCCTGCCGCTCAGCACCGTCGAGTGTGAGCGCGGCTTTAGCCACCAGAACGTGATTAAGTCCTGGCAGAGGACAAGCCTCTGTGATGCCAGGCTCAGTGACCTGATGTGCCTGAGCCTGGTTGAGTATGACATGGAATGGGGGAAAGTTGTGGATTTGTGGCGCAGCAGCAAGAAGAGGAGGCCTATAAAGAGAAGGGAGAGGCAGGGGAAGGCGGGGAAGGGGAATGTTTTGGAGGACGGATTCTGAACATGGCAGCAGCAGCAGCGGTGACAGTGGGTTTAGTAGCAGCAGCGATGATGAGGTGGAGGGGTAAGAGGTGGTGTTGGAGTTAATTGAGTAGTAAAACACCGATTATAGTCTATATGTGTGTGCTGCTCTGCTCTGATCTGCTCTGCTGCTCTGCTCAGCAGAGTCTGGTCTGGTCTGTCTGTGTGCTACTAAAATCTGAACCCTGAACACTTTTTTTTTTGCCCTGACAAGTCAGGATTAGTTTCTGCACATGCCCTGAACATTCAGGAAGGCTTTGAGAATTTGCCCTGACAAATCAGGGCAATTTTTAAGATTCTAGAAAAGTGCCCTGAGGCCTCGGTCCCCCAAAACCTAGCACGGGCCCTGCTGAAGACAGCTAAGTATTCATGGGAAAATATTGAGAACAGCCCTGTTCTCAATAGTCTATCGACCAAGCCGAGGATTATGCGATATACATGCTCTCGCGTAGAGGAGGGGCTTCTTGGGGAGGTTGGTCGTGTAAGGATTTTTTCAGCATTCCTTACCGCGCACCTCAACGTCGCATAGATAAGTTTCGCCCCCTTCGCTCGTCACATTTTCAGGCCCAAGTCGGCCTACGTTTCGGGACTAGCCTGAACGTTGCTGCCAGCATCGCATTAGCTAGCTCGCACGCACCATGTTACCCTTAGCTTGTTTTCACTATGAACGTTTGCTCATGACGTCGCCCACATTTGTTCTCGCCAATTTACCTTGACGCGTTGCACCCGTAACACATTGAAGCTATCACCTAGCTCCATCCGTAAAGAGCAGAAGTATCAACCCAGTAGCAACCAATGTAACAGGTTAGCTACTACAGTTTCGTACCCCTCCAACAGTTTGCGCAGTGAATTGACATCAAGGGGTGGAAAGGGTCAACATGCTTGTCCATGTCCACTCAAAAGTGACTTCCATGATTCGGGCATCAACAAATGCTGTCGACGTTGGTGCCCCTCACGGCGTTGACAAACATGTTGCTCCTCCTAGTGCCATTGGTGCACTCTGTTCATCATGTGCAAGTGTGCTGCGATACTGTTTCCTGATCACACATCATCAGGCTTATCTTCTTCCTGAATTCCGGCAATTTCCTTCGGAAGACGTGGCCGACCATAATGTTTCGGGCTTCCCGAAGTTCCACCAGGAGAACTGTACTTGAATTCATGTGGTTTTTTCTGGGTCGTGTAGAGAAATTAATGCAGCCCCCCCGAAAGAAAAAAATGCATTTGCGGGAACAATGCATCCCCCCCACACACACCTCGGTACTACTGTATTGTGTTTATGTCCTGTCTTGGCCATAACAACTAAACTAATAATAATCGCGGAAAATAAATCATGGGGACTTGTGATTGGAAGTCCCGACGAAATTTCGGGCATGTGCTTCCACCCTGGCCAATCTGGCATCCAAGAGTATGAAACCTCCTGATTTCACGGCTGGGCTCCTGCAGATCAGACGAATCAGGATGGATTGTTCTGCTTCTACGGCACCCACCCAGCTTTGTGTGCCTCGACCACATGTGGGCACTGGGCAAGCTGGGTGCCCTAACAAATACACACGATGCCCGTTTGACTGACCCAAGGTTGCCTTGCTAAGAGGGCTCTTAAGTGATTCTTGCATTTCGCTAAGCTTTCGTCAATTCGCACTTAGCAAAAAGGGCTTTTAAAAAGATTTTGTAACTCGCTGTTGACCGTTTGACATGGGTCTCTTCTGTCAAACTTCGGTTTTTGTGGTTCGTATTGCTCGAGGTGCTTATAAATGGGGTGCAACTGCCTGGTACCCTAATACACGGGTGCAGAGTTTCCATCGGGGGCAGAGCAAATTCGCGTGCAGGGGTTGGGCATCTTGTGTACAATACCCGCGGGCGCGGATTTCGCTCAAGTCAGGAATGGATCGACGGTCCTCATTTGCTGAATGTGAGAATCCATCGGTGATCAGGGGTAGCAGCACCCTATGTCGAGGTTCGGAAAACCCCGTCGATCGAGAAGGCTCTGCTGCGTTCAGAGTGTAGCTTGTCTTCTGGGTGCTTATGTCCGTCCAGGAATGCTCGACTTCCAGCCAGACTGAACCTGCTAAACAACTCGAATTTTGTCCTAACAGCGCCTGTTGCCTCTCTCACGCTGCAATCTGGCTAGAATTGACAGTAGACACTAATGTGAGGTTCTTCATGCATTGCGATCCTACGTTGTCAACATGAAGGAACATTTCCTCAGTAGGAACATTTTTCAGTAGCTTTCGGGGGCCTGAGCAATGGCCTCTGTGAGCGTGCCATTTCTTCAGTTGCCGTGCATTGACGCTGCCAGCATTGAGGGAAAATCTGAAAGTACCATCTCCAGGTTTCCTAACATGGCTTCTTCCAGAGCCAAATCAACGTCAGTACGTACGGATTCTCAGGCTTCTGAGCAATGTCCTGCACCACACCCTTCTCTTAAACATGTTTCTACTGCATCCGTCCCTCCACTGCCACCGTCGCTTCAACAAGGCCTTACGCAAAAAACTTTGCACAAATGGGAGGTCAATCCTATGCGCCTTCAGAGCCAGTCTCCACCTCTTTCGCCAGCTATCCACCCGTTGGTGGTCAGATCGTCATGCTCGTTATCTCCACACACTCCCCCCGTCCCGAAGTTCGCGAGCGGCGTTACGGCTCGACAATGTGGAGAATTTAAACCCACCAACCGTTTTGTGCAGTCATCAAATGCAACTGCTGTTAGAGATTCTATCACTCAAGCTGTGCCTGGATACTCGAAAGCAGATGAACGTGAAAGCGGAAAGGTCGAAGCTTGTTTCACAACAAGGTACGCTCGTTCTGTTTCCTGTACTCTCTTACCACTGCCTGAGAGCTACATTGTAGAGGATAGATTTAATGCTGTTTTCATTTCTTATATTTCATGAATGGCAGCCCAAATTCAAAGCGCAAGAGATCAACGGAAGGGATCGGTCCTGGCTCAACCGGACCTTTAAATAACTCCAGACATACTGGCCTTGTCATATCAACGAATGACATACAACCTCCTAATTCGACAGGATTGGACTCTGCTGTCAGTCATCAACCCGTGCGTTATCCTGCATTACTGATGACATATTTACGGATTAAGCGTACATCGTAGTCTAATCTGTCGGTACATACATCTTGCAGGCTACGTCAGGAGTATCTGAGGTCAACATTAATTCCTCTTTGATTTCTCCGTCAAGCGCTAAGAAGCTGTGCAGCCAGCACGAGTTTCATGCGGGACACTCCAATACGACGGAAATACGTAACGATTCCACGCGGAGTCCTCTATCCGACACGGCGGCTCACAGTCGCGGAAGCGGAAACTCGACTGGACCCGCGGAATCTCAACGACGAGCGCTCTTTTCCTCGGAACACAGCCAAGTGGTGTCTATGGTTCCGTCGTCACCGTTGACTATGAACATGACCCCATCATCTGACAAGTATCCCCGCTGCGCCTTGAAGAGTCCGCTTCAGCGCTCCGTGTCATGCTGTATTATGACGCCCGTAAAACCTCCAGCATCTCCTCGCTCGCCTAATCAGCTGCGAAAGTCTGGAAGTTTCGGGTTTGCTTCCTCCCCGCGATACGTTCCATTAGCGCCCCGAATCAAAGCGTCACCTCCTTTGACTCCATCGTCCGTTCCATTATTCCACGGCTCTCCTGTCATTCCTCCTGTCGGACAGAGAGCTGCAAAGATATTCGGCTTGATGGGACTGAATGCCTGTGCTAGCCCCCTTCTTACTGCTACAAACAGTCAATGTCACTTGCATGCCGTACCTTTACCGCCTTCGCCTCTGCTGACAAAGTCACAAAGTTTCTCTGTTACACTCTCTCCTGGCAAGGCTGTCATGCAGCAGCGCAAGGGTGTGATCACAAGAAGTCTAAGTGATCCTCGCCTCATTCTCACCCAGGACTCTCTTCCTCCGCCAAAAGCCACACAGCATTCTATTCAGGGAGAGCGTCAGTCGCTTCCGTCGCCTGGCGGATGGGCTCTGCAACAAAGCGGATCCACGACAAGTTCACCACATGTGCCATCCCAAATGGCGTCTTCTCTGCGACAGCTTCGATCTCCTGCGACGCTTCCCCTGCCGCCGCCAGCCCATCTTATCCAGAGTCCTAATTCTGCTGTGCAGCATTCTCCGCAGCTGCGCTCTTGCCCCTCAACAATTTCCCCAGTCCGCTGTTCGTCTCCCGTGGGTCCTGGTATGCACACTGGGCTTGGATGGGTGGATCGGCTGTCCGACATTGCAAAGCACAAGGCCAACGCCATGGCGGCTGCCTCTCACAGTCTCATGCCGACAAGGGCCAAAATGAGCTTCGGAATCCAGCCTTTGCAATCTGCAAGTCCGGTTTGCAGCCAGCCGCAGGGTGACGTAACACGAGATTTACAGGCTGAGCAAACGATGGAGATTCAAAATGGTTTCAGCCAGACGATGCAAGCAGCAGTTACGGGTTATGCAGTGGGGTCATCCGGACTGACAATGCAGGGTGCACCGTCTTCTGGGAAAGCATCTCTAGTTGGATCTCAACCACTTACAGGAAGCTGTGACACCCTGTTACACCCACGGCAGCTACCGCTGTCACAAGTACTTCATCAGGATCCAAGTGGTACTGACCAGCGACAGCAGCAGCCAAGGCCTCAACAACAGGAGCTGCCACAGCTTCAGCAGCGCCAGGATCAGCTATTCTCGCAGCAGATGCAAAAGCTACAGCAATCCCGGCAGCCTTCGTCGACGGACGCTCATCATCCAACTCTTGATCAGCACAACGCCTTTCAAAACCAGCAGCAGCAGGAGGAGCAGCAGCAGCAGCAGGCGCAGCAGGAGGAGCAGCAGCAAGGGGGGCAGCAGCAGCAGCAGCAGCAGGAGGAGGAGGAGGAGCAGCAGGAGCAGCAGGAGCAGCAGCAGCAGCAGCACCATTGGAACTTTCATCTGCAGCCAGTGCAGCAGCAACAGCCTATTGTGTGTCGCATTCCAAGATCTCCTCGGGCAGAGGTGCAGGGGAATGCTGTGAGCATGGTGTCTCCGCTGGTGAACGGCGCTCCTGCACGTGACTTGTCTTCTCATCCCACCCGTGCTTTCCGGTACATGGATTGCACTGTGGGTATGAAGAAATCAGAGTCTGTATGCGACAGCTCTGCCACTTCTGTGCAACATGCTCCTGCTCCACTTCCACGTGCATCAACTGCTCCTACGGCTTCTCATACAGCTAACTTCGACCACTATACAAGCTCGATTCTTCTTCAGCAGAACAGCTTCCAAGGAGCAACTGAGTTAATCTCGGAGCAGCATCTATCGACATTGGCTCCTCCTGGGAATTTCACCAATCTGCTTCCTTATAGCCATGGAGGGATGCTAACCAATGATCACCTTGAGTCACCTCACCGCCTTACAGCAGACCTTGACTATTCCATCGCTTCACCAGTTGACGACATGGATGGTGCTACCTGGACTGATGCAGGTCTTGCTACCGTGCAAGAACTGGAGCTGCAGGAGCTGGAGGTGCTGGAATGGCTACCTGACAATGACATTGGAGCAGGCGGTTTCTTTGACAACATTGACCATGGTCTCGCACAGGCAGGGCTTGAAGGAGCCTTCACACTTCCTAACGGAAACGATGATAATACTGCCAAAAACCTGGACCACGCCGACGAGGCTGTAAACTTGGAGCCACAACAGTTTGCTAACTCGGCAGAAATCAGCAATAATGATTCACTGCCTCCTACCAAACTGCCTGAAGCCGATCCAGACAACGTCACCTCTGAACCAAAGGCTGCAGAAGTGACCTTTCCTGCAGTGGAAGCAACTGCGGAGTGTACGGCACAAGCTATCCCAGTGATCGTGGAAGGAGAGGCTGCAGCAGGGAGTGGCAACACACTGAGTGGCCCTGTGCATCCTGGTTCCATATCAGAAGTGACTGATGTGGTGAAGGGAGGAGTTCAGGGTATTTCAGGCGGAAGTGCTAAAGAGCAAGAGGAGATGGCAAGCCTCAAGTGCACTGAAGATGTGCAGCTGTGGTGCCCCATGGAGTACTGATTCTGAAGTACCGATCTGGAATACCAACAAATGACATGACCATAATCCCAAGGAGTGCTGGGATGGAGCAAATGACTTAACACACTGCTCTGGCAAACTTCTGTGTCTGGTTACTGAGTGACAGTCAGACGGTACCTTTCGTTGATTCTCAGCTAGTCTACAATAATATGCGTTTGTTATCTGATGTTGTGCTGCTGAACGCTTGCTCTGGCTGGTGTGTTTAACAGTGTTTGTGTTTGCATTTATTTATACGCAACAGCAACACAAACTGCAAAAACACACACATCAAGCGGACTACATGAAACTTCTGAAGGGAAAGGCCACTAGCAATCATTGCAAAGCAACCGCAACAGCAGGACCTAGTTTTTATTTGTTGTCAATTGTGGTAAACCAAGACATAGCAACCGCAACAGCAGGATCCAAAACGTCCCTAGAGACCAGACGGAACACCGCAGGACCGTTCTTCACCTTGGTGTAAGCAGCAACCTCAATTCCCCGAGACCCATCCGCCTTCTGCTTGTACAAGCGGATCGAGTTACCGACTTTCTCCTTTATCACCTCGATCATGGACGCCCCCATCTGTGCTTTCTCCTGACTGAACGACTGCAACAGACAGAGGACATGCAAAAGAAAGCAAATGTGGGGTCATGATTTTCTTGGAACGGGAGGGTTTAGAAGCGTGGGTAAGTCTGAATGTGCAAAGCAGGCATGAAGTCAATTTCACATAGCCTGGAGACTGGTGCATAGGTTCTGTAGCTGACATACCCGAGGTGCCACGTCCATAAGAGTCTCAGAGTAGTTAACTCCCACGGGCCGCCCGTTGGACCACAGACGTGCCTCCGTGGCGTTGCCGAAGCGCGCGTACGACTTTCCCTCTTCGTGCCACGAGTTATCCCTCGACTCGCGCACCAGCATCATAATGAGCTCGCCCGTGGCGCCATTCTGGTGGATACACGACATGGACGGGAGTAGGTCGGTGGAGCAGACGGAAGACAAGAAGAGCTTGCACAGACGGAGCCAGCGCGGCGGAGTAATTCCTGACGCAGCGAGTGAAGTAATTTCATACGCGGAGACGAAACCTTTCAGCAACGTGATTACACCTACAGTTGTAGACCTGCCAAAAGCCTTGCTTCTTGAAACCGGTACATAATATATTTTTTGGCAGTTGGGTAACTTCTCTTTTTAAGAACTCTCGTACTAGTTACTCCCGTACACTGATTTCGTACCTTTACATACGCCGTGTGCGACGTGCTTTTGTATTCCAGCGTCAGAAACGCAGCGCCCTGAAACGGAACGTATCAACGGAAGGAAGATGCAGAGACGAGGGGAAGAAACGATCGGTTATGGAGGCTTTGCACGGGCGCGAGATGACAAGAGAGACTAGACTATGCTTGCTGGTGCGTTTCTTGGTGCAATTTATCAACAACGCAAGCTCTTTCTAAATAAAGCGGAAACTACGCCTACTGTGGAACCGACAGTCCTTGACTTGTTACGACGGTGCGTCAACGCGCAACGTACGAGTTATTCGCGCAATCACTGTGCGACGAATTCACTTAGCGCTTCCTTCCCGATGATTCGCGCTCCGTCTGTTGCATCCACGTATCTCCAGTCACGCCCATCTTAAAAAACCAGCGATCCCACCCACAACCCACCTGTGAGCCCAGAAGCCCCTCAGCGGAAAGGTCGCCGGAATACACGGAGCTGATGCCACGTGCCGTCACCACCGAAAAGGAGTCTCCCGCTTCACTGTAACGAGGGAGGTTGGAAGAAAGAATAAGCATGCGAGGAGCAAGGAGGATTTATGCGGCGAGGGCTTGTTTCAGCAGGGAGAACGAAATGAGAGGGAAAGTGCAGGCGCTGGCAATACGACGAAACAGTGAGAAGGCAACGAGTTTTGCCGAATGAAGTCGAGTTGCCATGCAGAAATCTACACGAGCGAAGCGAATCAGACATAGTGAGGTCCCGAGACGGCAACTTGATAACACCAATGATGTTCGCAGGTGAAGGTAGCAATAGATCAAGACGGATGGAGAAATGCTGGTGAGGGCTGGAGAAGGCAAGGATACATACAGCATGGCATCGCTGATGCTGGCTGCGATCGTTGAATCGACGCGTAGAGTCCTCGCCTGTTCGATGTACTTCTTCGGTGACTGCTTGGTAATCAGTTTAAACATGGCGTCTGCGCTTGCTCTGGAAAGAGAAGTGAAGTCAAGGTCGCGGTAGATGCACAACGATCACGGAGGTTCGAAACGTGAGTTAACTCTTCTATGACGTGAATTCCAGGGTTAGAATGGCAGGAAACGGATGAACGGGAAGAGTTGCTTGCTCGACGTGGCTCGAGATGCTTGCGGAAGTGACTGAAAGCGTAAAATTACGTTTAGAAGTGACGGAGCAAAGCAAGATGCACAGCAGGACACCTGATCTGACAAGTAGGGCTAGGCACTGTACTGGATGGGGCACGGCGGCGCGCAGAACTCTTTTCTTCTCAACGGAAGAAGGGGCACATGCCCAACGAAACGGAATGCAAGTCACAGACGTTTCTGTTCTGCCCGCGGTTGGGTTCGGACGGATTGGGTGGCGGGCTCACTTTGTTGCGGAATTTGCCTTCGTGCGCCAGTCAGACGGACGAACCGCGTCTGCCCAAAATGATCGATTGCGGACAGTCAAGGGATGCTTGAGATTTGGAGGGGAGGAGGAAAATGTTGGGCTTGTGGGGAGGAGGAACGGAAAGGAGGGAGGGAGGGAGGATGAGAGGGGGGCCTTTTCCTTTTCGCGCGAGTTTTCGCAGTCGTCAGCAAAACGAAGCTGTGTGGTGCCCCCAGTTCCACTTCCCGGTGCTGATTTTTGTGGTGATGACGTGGTCCACTTTGGGCTGCGCTATGGACAAGAGTGATATTTATACACCCCGAGTCGCTTTCTCGAAAGTCTTCCAATCAAACGGACCGCCTTCCTGTCCGCTCTTACAAGAGGCGTGCCGTGTGTCGAAACTTCTGTCAGTGATTTTTGCCGAGCTTTGCTCCCACGTGCCAGATGTGTACCCCCAGGGCGTGTCATAAGAGCTCACTGTATTACGGCGGAATGAGATGTAGTGCATGTCAGAGCGGTTTGTTTTGAGTTTTCTGCGTTTGGGTAGGGTTTTGAGCAAAATTGAATTCCAGATGACACGCCACCACGGGCAAACTCTCAGCTTCGAAGCACACACCACGACCATCCGCAAATGTAACATTTTAACTAGACATTTCGGTACAATCACTGTAGATACTATAATACGTAACCCTTGTCCAAACTTCTTACTTGGAAGCACAATCTTCAATCAAAAGAACCGGTTTATGCCCTTACCGGTGTTTTCAGCTAAGCAGATACCAGCAATTACATAACTGTCGTTTCACAGGGGGCTGGTGGTACCTAGTGAAGGCAGACCCAAGCCTCTTTCAAGGCAGAAAGTGAATTGTGGTAAGAAAACCCATCCCTGAAAAAAAAAATACATTAATTTCTTGTTGATAAGATTTGTAGCAGCCAGAAAAGCAACTCTACGACATACTCAGTTGCACAGTAACCCGATGCATGAACAACAACTCGGGAGACGGTGGAAGCCAAGCTGGAGGGTGTGTGGGACTATAGGGAAAGGGGTTTATGCATGTCCCAAATCCGACACCAAGGAAATGCGAATATAGCAAGCCTGACAAATGGGAAACAAAAAATAAACAGATAAGGTCAAAGTTCCTTAGGGAAGACAGCTGGTAGACAAGTGGAGAAGGTTGGTAAGGAAGGAAGAATAGACAAAAGGACAGGTGTCTCTGCGCAGAGAGACCAGGGAGGGCTGTCAAATCGATATGAAATATTGCTTCCCGGATTTCTGCTGCTGCACATGGATCTTGTTCTTGATGGATTACCACTCATGCCTGCAAACACAGGAGCACACGCACAAATAGATGCTTCATAAGGAATGTGCCAAAGGCTCATGAGCGGGAGAGGAAAGAAGACTTGAGTGGGTAGAGGAAAAAAACATTTATGAATGCAGCACGATAGAGGACCCAGTATTCTGGTATGCCATAGTACAAGTATGCATAAAAAATAAGCTTCAACAAGAAGAAGATCCAAGGTACTTGATATTCATGACCGAAACAACAGTAGTATCCAGGACTTCTGAGGTCACGCACAAACACTAGGCGCGCCTCGCACGCACCTGTGAAGGCGTGCGCAGCAGTACCGCCACGAGTGGAGTCCCTTTACGAGCAGTTACGCAAGGAAGAGAGCAGCGCCTGCACCTGAACGGTTAAATGCAGCACACGGGAGGTGGTGGAGAGGGGAAATGCGATGAGGCGATGACGTTATGAAATTTACACACAAAAAAATCGAGCAGGAGCACGAGACATGGGGCTATTGGCAAGGGAGTAGGGCAAATTGAACATTGTGGCAATGGCAGAGAGAGAGTGAGAGAGAGAGAGAGAGAGAGAGAGAGAGAGAGAGAGAGAGAGAGAGGGGTGGCTGTAGTTGTGTTAGGATAGGAGATTGCACCAGTAGCTTTGTTGTGTGTGGTTTGCTGCTTTACCCTGTGTGTACCTTGGTGATATTAATACGACGGACCGTTCGAGAGGGGTGGGGAAGGAGGGGAAGTGGGGGAGGGGGGCGAGATAGAGAGAAAATGCCATACTGTACCTTCAATACTTGTTGTTCCGCTTGACACTGCCCCCCAGTGAAGTCAACACCCTTGTTCTTCCCATTCACGTCTCCCCCCATCGCCTTCAATAGCTGCTCCACTCCCTCGCGTACACCCGCCTGCACTAAATGCTGTCCGAACATGCTTCCTCCTGCAAGAACGTTCTTCAGAATCACCAGGCCCAACTGTTGCTGCAGAGTCAGCGCCTTCCCCTGCTCCTTCCCCGGCTGTAGCACCTGCAGCAGCGCGCGCGCGCCGTTGGAATCATCTACAGTGCAAAAAGCCATTACTCCCTCCTCTGACCGGGTCAAACTCGCCAGCAGTGCGGAAAGCTCGACCTGCCCGTTCGCCTGCCCGGCAAGCAGCATGGAGGAGATTTGGGCAACAGCGTTTCGCTCCACCAGTTGCGCCGCCACTTCCGGCACCTGCGACAGGCGCAGCAGCGCAAGCGCCGCCGCCGCACGCGCACTGGCACGTGGCGGTTCGTCCTCGTTCGACGGTGGTGCTGACGAGGACGAAGCAACCAGCAGCTGCCACAGCAGCACGTCCGTGCCCGCACTTGCCGCCACGTGTACCCTCGCCTCGCTGTGCAGCAAGCAGTAGAGGAGCGCTGCCACGTCAGCAAGGAGCGGGAAGGACGTGGATGCGGAGGGCTCCACTTGTCGAAGAATATTAACTAGCAGCATCACCAGCCCCTCCTCGCTGAAGCGCGGCGCCGAGCGTTCGCTGAGGAGGCAGAGATTAAGAGCCGTTGCCACCGTCAGTGCTGTTAACCTACTCTTCGCAGCGCCACTGCTTCCGCTTTCCAATGCACGCGTAAGAGACGCCGTGGCGCCGTTCGATATAAGCAGCTCCGCTTCAGCCGCTCCTTGCGCGCTCAGCTGCATCACCACCGCCGCTGAGTCCGCGTTTCCCGCCGCCACCTGCGCAAGGAGCCGCGCGACCTCGTCTTGGCTTGGCGGAGCGGCGGTTGCGGCGCCAGCCGCGGTGGAACAGGCTTGGCGAGCGGAGCCCGCGGAGGCGGGGAGGTCGGCGGGGCGAGCGGGGAACTTCTTGAGCGCAAGGTGGAAGTCGGAGGCGGAAGCGAGTGCGGAGAGGTAGTTGCGGCCGAAGTGACTGACGAGCTCAGGGAGAAGCGCGGGGCCGGATACGCTGCGCGGAAAGGGCGGATGCGTTCGGGGGAACAGGGGATAGGACAGGGACGGTGACAAGCGGAAAAAGGCGGAATTTTTTTCTAGGAGCAACGCAGACGCGCGCAAGTGAAACTGACACGAGAAACGCCGGGGATGGCGACTGTTGACTTAGACGGTGCGTGTGACGACGCAACAATTTAGGGTCACTTAACGGGTACGCGATAACAGTTACAACAATTGACGGTGACGGTTACGTAAGACGGTTAAAGTGACGGTTTACCTGCAAGAAGAGCTGCCACAGTTGGAACACGACGCTCCCGCCTGAAACGATTCAGGAGAAACGCCAAGAGGAAAGAGCGGCGGGAGGAAGAGCAGCGGGGCCGGGAGGAAGAGCAGGGGGGATGAGCGCAGCAGGGAGAATGATGCCCGGTCGAGAGTAGCGAGGGGAGGATGGGAAGAGAAAAGGGAGGCACGGGAACGGAAGGAAGGGTGCGATGAGATGCGATGCGATGCAACGAGGTAGACGCCGTCGTGAGAGTGCGACGACGACGACGACGACGACGACGGGTAAAAAATGGTGACGGTACAACGACGGGTCACGTGCGCGCGTAAGGGAGGGGAAAGCGAGAGACTGGCTCGTAGGGGGGAGGGAAGGAGTGATGGGGATGATGGAGAGGGAGAGGGAGGGGAAGTACGTGAGGGGAAGGGGCAGCGGAGGAGAAAGGCAGTGGGAGCAGGGGGGAGGTGGGCGGGGGATGGGGGAGAGCATGCGTGCGCCATCGGGAGTACCGATCTCAGCCTTCGAGTCACACTATCCGGAAAGGTGGAAAGACGGTGCGAATTCTATATGAAATGCGGAAAGTGCTGCCACAGAGACTAATTTCACCGGTCTACAGCACCTCGAGAGGCTGGTGGTTTACTCACAGCCTCTACCGCACTAAAACGCGGTCTTGCGACTCGTCCATGCATCCCTTTCCGGCGCTTAAAACAACCCGTTGGAACCACTACCCATACCCAGTCGCTCGGCATGCTAGGCAGGGCCGACGAGGCTCGGCATACTCGATGCGTCTCAGCATTCCCGGTGGACCTTAGCTCGCTAGCAGACGGACCTTCGATCGCATCTTGCTCCAGATGCCTTGCATGGGATTCGCTTCCACCTTCCATGGCGCGGACCGCCGCGGCCGGCTCTCCTGCAGAACGGCTACTAGAGACGCCATGAAGCGATTAACTACACGTCGCAGGGGTGGAGGAGAGATGGGCTACGGAAACGCGGTATGTGAAACAACCCTTATCTGAAAGTAGTTGTAAAAAATAGAAGAACTGGTAAAGTGAAGAAACGTTGTTATGGAAACAGGGTGGGTTGGAGAAGAAAGGTAGAACG